AGAATTTGGTATTTTATATGGTACTCTAAGAACCAAATAAGCCCTAATTACCCTATCTCGCGCTGTGCTAAAAAGTTTTTTGATTTTCTGATATTGTCTATTATCTAAAAATTGGTAGTTAATTGTACATATTTTAACAAAATCATTATAAAGGGTTAGCAAATTTACTTTAACTTCCTCGCGCACACTCTCGCTTTTCGGTACGTTTGATTTTAAAACTCTTTTAGACTCACTAACGATATCGTCTTTTAAATTTGTCAGCCGGGTATGAGTCTCATCCCAGTTAAACGTCATAAATAAATAAATAATAAATATTTATCTAGTAATAACTCAAAAAAATAAAAATAAATAAAACTACGTAAAAAGGAAATAATATCATAATATAGTAGATAGTTAGGTACCTAGAGAATAAAAAATTTTGAAGGTCAAATGTATACTAGTTATTATGGACCTATATAGTTTAGCTTTTAAATTATGCATTCGTGAATAGAGCTAATATCAAAGAGAAGAAAAAGAAAAAAAAAAAAAATCAAATGAACATGAATGAAATGGACTTAAAATAAGCACCATAATAAATTAAAAGTTAAAGTCTTTTTAATATTTTGGGACATCTTCTTCTTTTCAGGAAATAATATAATGAAAGTTGTGAACACACGGGAACTCAGCTGCTCTATTATGGCATCAATTTTTCATTTTATTTTATCTATCTTTGAATGGCCCAATTTTCAGATCAGACAAGGGACGTATACTCAGCATCGGGCATAATAACAAGTTTGTACATACCGGCTGTCCTCTGCGTGTGTATGACTTACGAACTTTATGCGACAGCGTCTACATCATCAGCTGCTCTGGCTCTTAGCACCATGCTTCTGCCCAAATTGCGTTTCAGGCCTCTCCTATACGATTTACGCACTTTCAAAAATGTCATCAGACACACGGCTGCAGCAATAACATACAATATTACGCGAACGTCATGTGGTACGGAAACAGCGTTTTCTTCAACGATAAAATTCGAGTTTACCGCTCCGGTATCAGTCACTTCCGCGTGTTTACTAGAACTTTTCCCCATGTCTATTTTTCGTATCGCGCGCCCGGTCAAAAAATAATTATTTTTTTGATATTGATAATATAGTTCTTAAAAAAAATTGTACTTAGGCACCATCCTGGCAGGATCGCCATGTATGATCCTTAATAAAACACAACGGATGTTATTGGTTTGAACGTTATATTGGATCTGAATAATGGTTACAATATGGTTTACATAGTTTGGTAATACTAATGACGTGAAATGGAGGTGACCTGATTATGATGTTATCATAATAATAATAATATGAATATACTAGTGTTAATATTAAACTGCACCCATTGATTGTAAGAATTTATATTGCCAATGTTACACAGATAACGCAGTTCGTGAGGATTAAAACAGATATTAACCAAAGTAGACAGATTAAACAGCGATTCGCTTACCCTAAAACCGGGCGTCGGAAGGCGGCCGAGGCCTTGGCATTGTCCGCGCTAAGCAAAAGGGTACGAAAACAAGCCATTCTTGAATCTCGGTCACCACTTGCATATCAGTGCTCCCACACCGCGGACAGCACGCTCGCACCGCTACAGGAGCTCATGTTGGACTGAGAACCAATATGAATGGCGAAATATTAGGCAGTACGAATACCTGAAATGAATTGAAAAATAGTAGCCGGTACTATCTGGTCAATTTAACCTTATTTATCAAATACTATTTCCTTATTTTTGACCAAGAATATTTGGAAAACTTAGTGTTTTATAGAAATAATGAAAACATCTTTTTCCTTATATGCTTGTTAGCAATGCAATACATGGCCAAAATGAATACTTAAATTCGATAAATATTATTTTTATTTGATATTATCCAATAATACATAAATATTTGAGACTTACTTTTAAGAGTTGGTCTCGTTTTATCTACTAGATAAAAGTTGTAGCTCACTCCTCTTGTAGCCTTTAATGGATTTGGTATCATGGAATCGAGTTTCACCTTTGTTTCTAATCCTGTTTTTTTTTTTGGGGGGGAAATGAATGGCAAAAGGGTACGAAAACAAGCCCCGTTTGAATCTCGGTCACCACTTGCATATCAGTGCTCCCACACCGCGGACAGCACGCTCTGAACGATCCCGAAGCGAGAGGTACGAACTCGAGGGCCAACGTATCAAGGAAAGGTGTTTCAATTACATACATCCAAGTACAACCCCTACAGGAACGCGTACCCCTGTAGCGGATACCGGAGCTCATTTTGAACTGGGAACCAATATGAACGGCGAAATATACGCTAAGCAAAAAATCAATATTTTTAATTTTGGGTTGGTAAACTTAATTTGGTTGCTGACTCCACTTTTCGGATTTTGTTCAATGCTCTATGGATATTGCCCAATACTGATGACCGGTTAATAACTTAATGAGGAATCAATGAGGCAATAAACTTTCGTCAAATAATTGAATTTTAAAGGGCTACTGAAAATTTTACAACATAAAATATTGTTTTTGCAGATTTAAAATACATACCTAAATTCAATTTGTTTCAAAAGCCTTCCTAGAGAAGAAACACTAAACTCGCCGTGAATAATGGGCTGGTCTTTAAGTTTTTCCAAAATTACTGCAATCAAAAAAGTATAATTATTAATATATTCATAGATTGATCAGTAATATTTTCCACAATTTGTTGCCCATTAAATTATAATTATTTTGGATTATTTTCATGTTATCTACCTTTTATTTGGGTAAGGGCCAAATTATGGACTGACTGGTAAACGTCTGGTTGTTACCTAGCAGGTACTTTCTATGCTCTGGAGAATAGAAAGTACCTGCTAGGTAACAACTAGACACTTACCAGTTGGTCCATAATTTCGCCCTAAGTATAAGTAGATACCTCGAATGGCCCACACAGCAAAAACACATCCATTGTATATACAATGTACATTGTACAACGGATATGTATATGCATTTAGGAACATTTGGATGTTCTATGGACGTAAGGTGTACATAAAAAAAATATGCATTTCATATACTTTTGTTGCCAACAATGACTCCATTTTCACATCCATAGAATATAGATATGCATATTCATAAGACATACATTAAATATGCATGTATATATAATATGCATTTCACGTAAATACATCAAACATACATTATATATACCCACTGTAGATACATGTGTATGTATACACATACTCAGCTTGTGCGATGTATATGCATAAAATGCCTATGAAATATACAAAATATACAATGTATACTTAATGGAGGTCTCATGGATGTGCAAATGTACATTTTATGGATGTCGATATGAATATACATATATGTACATTATGTGCTATGTACATACATCAGTACATAATATGTATGTACTATGTACATACATCAATATCTACCTATAGGGCGATGTATATGGAAAGGACCTAAAGTCCATCCCTTTTTATGAGAGTACAATGCCTAGTAGGATTCATAACAAAAATAATGTTAACACTTTTTTTTTTGGAAACATACAAACTATATTACCTACTTATTTAATTATCTGGCTCAAAACATCCAAATTTGAATTTTTTCATATATAACATGCATACATTGAAATAAAAATTTGGTGAAACACACATATAGTTGAATTATTACCTTTCATTACATTACATATGCATGCGGTTGAAAGTTTATAAACAGCCAAAACATTAATGTCATGACAAATAGGGTATTTTGAAAGAAACATAACCAAAACTGCAACGACCCTTGTAAAGAAAAGAAGATTTTTTTTTGAAAAAAAATGTCACTGTCAATTGATATAAATTGAACAAAGATAACAATGACATTATTCCAGAATGGAAATAATCCAACTTTACAGATGTCTACAACACCTAGGTGCTAAAAATAAGTATAACTCAAGTAAATAAATGAAAATAAACTTCAGTACTCCCTTCAAACTATGGATGTCGTCAGCCATTTTCATCCTTCTATGTTGACAGATCATTATTTGTTCTGAAAGAGAAGACCAGGATTTAAAAAAAATTGAAAAATAACTATTTACCTAACAAGTGCGGAAAAAACATTTTCCGCAAGTGTTAGGTACAATAGTTTTTCTACAGAGCTCCGGAAATAAGTATAATATATAATTTGAACTCGAATTTGAATTGTAATTTGATAGTATTCTTTTTGAAAGCCGTGCGCAAAAATTTTTCCGCACTGTCATGTGTGTCCACCTTTACAGGTTTTTAATGGTTTTGACATATCAATGTAGAAAAAATTTTGCCGCACCGTGCAGAAAAAGTTTTGCCGCACCGTGCAGAAAAAGTTTTGCCGCACCGTGCGGGAAAATCGATTTCGATTTTTCGCACGCTCGTAGGAAAAAATATATTGTCAACATTTTCTGAAAGCACTTACAAGGAATTTTCGAAAAGAAAAAAGAATAGGCGTTTTGCGCGCGTGCAGTCCCATGGCTGCATTCAGAAGAACACATCGATGAGAAATCGCTGGTCATCGTAAATCGGATTTGTAAAGCAATGGAAAAATGGCGTTCGATTACTATTCCGATGACTTATCGCAAAATTTGGGCGCATTCAGCACACAATCTGTCATCGATTCCTCATCGATGTGTTGTTCTTCTGAATGCAGTCCAAACTGGATAAAATCCCGCCAAAAACTGAGCATACGCAACGGTGACGTCACGAGGTTTTCATATTTGTTTTTGACATTCTATCAAGCTTTTTTGTATTTTTTGAGTTAAAAATGGTTTAGGTATAGTTACTGTATGACACAGTTGTGAAAGTACAACAATCTCCACTCCAGAAAAGTCATTCATTATTTAAAAAAAAACAACAAGAAATCTGCTTAACAGCCACATTCACTTTTGTGAAGACCATTCAAGTAGGGAGTTAAATTAGAAGTAATTTACTTCTGAGTTAATGTTATAAATATTAAAGTTATAGGGCCGATAAATACACAAAGTATAATAATTTGATGCTAAGAAATAATATCACTTACGATTTTTTCTTCAAGGCGTTGTTCCGGCGGTCTTTTGCCCTCACCAGCCAGCTTTTGATAGCATTAATCACGACATGATCATCGGACTGGATTCTGGGATTTTCTCTCGAGGCCTCTAAAAATTTAAGAAACATGAAACAATTAATCATTAAAGATAAATAATTGAGAAGAGGTGCACTCTCTTTAAACCGTTCAATTACTGCGGAAACGGGCACACTACACATAGATTGACACACCCTGTTTTGTCAACAATTTATAACATTTTAAGCTCGATTTTAAAAATATATAGATATAAGCTTCAGTTGTAGTAATAAACATATCAACTTACTTAAAATTACTTGTGCGATTAGTAAAGCTTTGAATGCCTTTTTTCCCTTTGCACCGTCCCAACTATATAGCTCGCCAAGATCATTGGTAAAACACCTATACATTATTTTCTTGGTAAGGGCTTTTGCGTCGTCTCCTCCCATTCTACTAAGTTCTTTCGCCTACAATTGTATAATATTTAAAATTATCCTAATTATTTATTGTCATCTCTTACCAATGCTTTAGAATTTTCAGCATTTCCCAACAGTTCTTCAAGACGATCTAAGACCCCTTCGTCCTGTAACGGAAACAATGACATAATTTCATCTAACTTTTGAGAGGTGGATGGATCCATATCGCGCTGCCCTTCTCGTCTTTGTAATAAAGTATCCAACACTTCGGATTGTTCTGACAATTTTGCCGAAATTATGTTTAAAGCCCTTAGAACTTTTTTTCGAAAATCTGAAAACGTATTTTTGGTAGAAACTATTCAGAATACTGGTAATAATTCAACAAAAAGTATAAAATGACTTGTTATTGAATCTCGAACAATATAAGATAATAAGAATATTAACCTTAATCTTAAGGAAACAAATGTAAATTTATAAGATGTTATTACTAAATAAATAAATAAATAAATAAATATGTAGGTAATAATTATTATTGTCTGATATGAGAATTATTGGATATGGACAAGGATGGAAGTTATTTTTAGCTGAAGACATACAACAAGTAAAAAGATTTACCTTTGTCCGAGCCTTTGTCAGACTGATTTACATCATCCATACTGCCACATCTTGTAGAAGATGCCTTTAAAGTGGTTTCAAAAGTACTGGGGGTTCCAGTTCCTGAAACATTTTTAGGCGCTCCCAAAGAGCTTATAGACGAAATATCAGAAGGCTCTGCACTTTCAATGCCAGAAGTTGTAATCACAGTTTGTGTTGAAGGTTTGTTTTTTTTTTAATAGTTAGCTGGAAATAATGAATGCATTTAACTACTTGCTTTTAAAATAGCTTTTTATGTATTTTAGACTCAGGGTTGGCAAATATCATGATATTTATATAAATATCCAATTATCGGATATATATCGATATATATCCGATATATATCAAAACTTGGATATTTATTTATATGTTTAAATATTTAAATTAGTTCATCTGTTTTCTGTTATTTATTTAAAATTCAGAATAACTTAATTGTAAATTTAATAAAATGTTACAGAAATGTAAAGTTGTTGAGGCGTTAACAAGTTTTAGTGCTCGTATCTCCTATATTATGTATATAGGAATGTAAAGTGTAGGTAAATAGATAGTATTGATATATATCAGGATATTTATAGCATAAATATCATGATATTTATCAAGATATATATCAGGATATTTATCACTGATATATATCCTGTCAACCCTGTTTAGACTACTCGCTACAGTAAATTATCATCTAAACAAAACAAAACCTATTGAACAATACAAAGGGACAGACAAAACTACATACAAAATCTAAAATGCTAGATAAAATATAATTATCATGTATACTGGTGTCCGGTTCTACGTTCAATAACACCTCATTTGTCACTTATGACACCTAACCTCAAAATAATTATTATTTTAATCCGGGTGTTTTTTGAAATAAATTTCAATTAATAAAAATATCGATTGTGTTCAAATTATTCGTTAAACTACTCTTCGCAGCTATGCTAACAAGCCACCCTGGTTCCATTTAAAAAAAAATCAGGTTAGACCAATAATGCATATTTGTGTAAAATACCGTATTTCATTTGTTTTTATTAAAAATCAAAAAAGTTATAGGGGCGAGCCACTTTCTTGGGACACCCGGTATACAAGAGTGGTTTGTATGCTTGAAAAGCAATTTTTGATTCAAAAGAAATATAAACAGAAAGGACACCTACTTGTAATATTTTTGGAGTTGCTGGATACCTTATTTCCGAATCGTCAGATGCAGACCCACCGGAATAATCAGAAGAAGAATATTTTTTTTTTGACTTAGACCTTTTTCTTTTCTTTACAGATGAACTAGTTAATTCATTATTTGAGGACAAGTCAGAATTTTCTTGTGCTTTCCTGGCCTTACGTATAGCTACTTCATATGAATCTGAAATTTAAAAATTTGAACTCATCGGCCAAAAAATAAAATAAATTAGTAACTATAAATAATACGGGTGTCCCGAAATGTGTTGAAATATGTAAATGGAGTGGTCTGGAGTGATATTCTGAATTTCTCTACTTATTCTTTGCTTCAAATGGTTCAAATTTTTTGGTGTCGTGCTGTAATCTCTGTAGGATATCTTGGAAAAAAATCCATGAGGATTAGATCAAGACTTCTGGGTTGTTAGTTTACTGATAACTCCAGACCTCTGTGGGCGAGTATTTGCACATTTCCGGTTCTGTCTTGAGAAGGTGCAGCAGCGCGAAGGAAGACATCTTGATAATGTTATTTTTCATAAATAATTTTTAGTTTTTAAATAAAATTTATTTCAAATGAATAACTTTTTCATTAGCCGAGTTATACTCTATTGAAAAGAAGAAAACATTTTGGGAAACTCCGTTTTATAAGAGCTTGTGAATGCTACTTTCAAACTAAGAGTAGACAGACTGTATGTATACATATAATATATCTTACCATATTGTCCCATTAATTTGGCTGGAAAACATTCCCATTGTTCACCTGGGACTTCTTGCCTCTTTATAAATTCAGGAATAAACCTTTTAAAGTTCTTTGGGGGCCAATAGCATTCATTAGTTCCCTTTACGAACCAAATTAGAGGTACTGCTTCCACGGAACCTTCATCCGTGAAATGGATAACAGCCCATTTTTCCATGTTCCAATATTTCAGTTTCTAGAACCTTAAACAATAATACACATAATATGATACTTGAATTATTTCAAGTTGATCAATTAATCTCACCTCTAAACAGCATACCCTCAGGCATACCCTCGACAACTTTCATAGAAATAATTTTAGACATATTATTATTATGTAGGGAGATAAATATAAAAAAAAAATGCATTATATATATAACAGATATAAAGTATTTTAAAAACCTAAAAATATATTGACTTAACTCTGCAGAATGAGTCTATAAAAGTGTGTAAGTAACATTCAGGGGTTAATACCTATATGTATATCAGTTTTTATAAAGAAAATTTTCCAATGACGATCCTACAAGGTAGACAATTTTATTTTCCTGGCACCTAGGAAAGATGTGCAATTAGGCACTAGCTCGTGACACTTCATTGGGGGGACAAATGAAGTGTTTTTACATTGAAGTTGGTCATAACTCTGTTCGAACAGCGCATGAGAACTGTAATAGAACGGTAATTTGCAGTTATCTACATTTGATTCACTGAAAATACTCATTCTAGAACGATTTTCATGCGCTGTTGGAACAGAGCTATGATTAACTCCAATGTAAAAACAGTTTAGTTATTTGTCCCCCCCATCGAAGTGTCACGAGCTAGTGCCTAATTACAAAGAATGTAATAAAGGGAAAGATACATACTCGCTTTCTAATTCATTATACCTAAATACAACAAGTTTTAAGCGAATTTGATTGCAGGCGACACATTCAAGTTTGGTAGTTTCACATTTTATTATATTAATATCAAGTTCAGAAGAATTACAGGGCTTAGTAAAGAGATTCCCCTTTTTTTTTTAAGTAATGACCCACCATAACAAATTCTTTTCCATAATAACAAAAAATTTTTATTTCAAATATACTGCTGTCATTCAATTGAACAAATCTGTTAGCCAAAGAAACACATGATAAAACATATTTTTTTAATGCAATCTTTTTAAATTGGGGGTTTCGACACCCGCTTATTAATGGGCCTTCAGTATGTTGTTTGAAGCAAATTGGGTATTCATTAACTGTAATGTGTTTTTCTATGCTGTTTTCACAAATTGAATTAGCCTCAGAGATTCTTTTAACAACTTGTTGTAGTGGTTTTTCACTTTTTCTTAGATTTTTTATAAGTTTTTGCAAATAATTCTCGAATGGAAACGCACTAAAATTATCTAATACGCCAAATTTTCTTACACAGTCTACCAAATGTAAAAGATTATGGACATTAGGCGAAACAAACCCGTAGTCATATATTTTTTTACTAGATTTGACATATAATTTCAACAACTGTTCTGCATATTTAAGCCAATTATTATCTAAAGCTAAATCACTTATCAATATTGATATTGCAACAGAGAGTAACATAAAATGATTATATTGTTTTTTTGAAATAATACCTTTCAAAACTACAGGACCAGTATACAGTAAAAATGTTCTGAACTCGGTGGCTTTATATCTTTTGCATTCAGTAACTTGCCTGGTCTTTCTGGAAAATTCCGCTGGAACATGCCTTTGTAGCCTTAGAAGGCGAATAGAAATTTTGTTAACATGTAATGCCCGCAGTTTAAAAGGAGGTTTACCAAAAATCCAGCCATATTTTTTATGTGCTAAAAGTCTTTTAACTACACCCAGACAAATTAGGTGCATATAATCAAGAGGTACATTATCAATCATGTTAAAATTAACAAGATTTTCTATTACTGAAGATCCTATATGATGTTCAGGTTGTAAGCGTAGTCGAAAATCTAAATCAGTCCGGTTTTGAAAGATATCATCTAAAAGGCATACATGACCATCTATCATGTCTCCTTCCTGTTTACATTTTGTACAGGAGAAATAGGCTGAATGACCCTTAATATGCAAAACAAAAGATTTTGCTGGACTGTCACAAATCAACATATCAACTTTAACATTTAATAAACAGCCATCAACTTCCATTCCCTGTTGACTTAATTGTGAGCATTCTTCTACAAAATTTGTAAGCAAAATATCGGGGTGTCTAGGTTTAGAACTACCATGAAATATTGCAATAGGCATCACCTTATCAGCTAGTGGTTCAATATTTTTAATTAAACACAAAATGGGCCAAAAACAACTATTAGAACTCTTACTGAGAGGTACACCATCAATATTCATAGCTATTCTTATTTCCTGGAAACTATGTATATTGATATTATATTTGTTAAATAAAGTCACAATTGATTTTTTGAGGCCAAAGTAATAATAGCTTCCACTCTCATCGTTTTTAATAACATTAACTTGTTTTGGAGTCTTTAATATTGTACGAGGATCAACTGGTAAATTAAGACCAGGAACTTGCTGTTCATTTAAAATTGCTAACAGTTTTTTTAGAGAAGTGTGACAAATATTTTCTTCAATAGCCCATTGTGCCAGCTTGGATTGAAAGTTTTTCTTGTTCGATTGTATTTTGTACAAATTATCAGTAATATTTATTGAGGAATGACTTGTGCTTGGTGCAAGAATTGACCCTTTCCTAGGCAATATAGCATCACTTAGATGTGTCCTGCGATGACCCGTGGTTAGGATAGGGATTGATTCTTCCATGGGCAACTGCACATCACTGCTCTGTGCATTATTGAAAGTATTTTCTTCTTTTTCCTCCTCGTTTTCCTCTAACTGAAACTGTTTTGACACATTTTCGTCAAGATTCTGTGCATGTTGCAAATTAATCTCATCTTGATCTTGCTGAGATGGGTTATTGATTAATAGGAGAGATTCCTCTGTTTTTTTTTTTATTTTTCTTTGGAACTTTCGCCTTGAGCAATTCATTCTAGGAACAAAATTGGGACATGAAAATATTAGCCTCGATAATAGTAATATTAATTTAATCAAGGTAAAATTAGTAGATATTTAATTTTATTTTCTGTAATTGGGTAATATTGAAATTGTAGGTACGTTCTACAAATTTAATGTTTCAAATTAGAAAAATTAACTAGGTAGGTGCCTACTTAAAATAAACCAAAAAAAAAAAAATTAAAGAAATAGGGGGGACAGCTTGACTCCAGCCCCTCATTTTTAATTTTTTTGATTTTTTGGGAATATTTTTGGCTTATTCAATTGTGCTGGTTCTTCTGCTGAATAATTGTGCTTTATCAGGTTTTTCTCAAAATTTCCATATTCGGTGATTTTCCGACAAAATCCTATTGCGGAACTAACTTGACGTTCAGCCCCCAATATTTTGGAAATCAGATCAAACAAAAATGGATTCCTATTCAATCTGAAGTGTGCTGAACTGCTGTATCAGGTGTTTCTCAAAATTCTCATATTTGGTGATTTTTTCAACAAGGTGCAAATATCTTGTTGTGGTTCTGGGATTTTTTTTATTATCTGTTTTGTTGATACATTGTTACTATTTTTTTTAGAATAAAAAACTTTTATTATTATTAATTTTTTTTTTTTGGGTTCCGGTGCTATAATAGAGTGAAAAGAGTTAAAATTTATCTACTCTGAAATGATCCACTTTATTTCTTTGTCAGTTTGTTATATTGTATTCAATTAAGACTATATACAGTGTGTCCGCAAAGTAACGGATAAATTCATTTAAAATTCACGCCTATTTTTTTCGGAAAAACGCTCGGACACGTCGATTTCAATTTTTAGTGGCACTGTTTTTGAACTAAATTTTCTTTACTTATACAAGGTGGCCCAAAAAAAGAGATATTACGTGACACTTTAATTTTTTGAATGGAATGCCCTGTATATTTTCATGAATATCGATAGAGCGCATTAAGACGAATTCAACGATATAGGGTTTGATGTCTATCTTGAACCGTTTTTCTACAATATGAAATTGAACTAAATTGAATTTGAACTAAAAAACTAAAAACTAAACACCTACCTGCAGTTGGGAATTCAAAAAAAAATTAAAATACTTAATTACTGGTAAAGTTTTTCATTTATTGTAGAAAAACGGTTCAAGATAGACTTATAGACCTATATCGTTGAATTCGTCTTAATGCGCTCTATCGATATTTATGAAAATATACAGGGCATTCCATTCAAAAAATTGAAGTGTCACGTGATATCTCTTTTTTGGGCCACCTTGTATAAATACAATTTAGTTCAAAAATAGCGCCACTAAAAATTGAAATCGACGTGTCCGAGCGTTTTTCCGAAAAAAATAGGCGTGAATTTTAAATAAATTTAGCCATTACTTTACGGACACCCTGTATATATTACTCTATATAAATTTTTTGTGAAATAATTCTTTAGAAAGTATCTCCTGACATTTTTGTTTGATCTGATTTCCAAAATTTTGGGGGCTGAGCGTCAAGTTAGTCCCACAGTAGGATTTTGTCGAAAAATGACCGAATATGGAAATTTTGAGAAAAACCTGATAAAGCACACAAAGCAGCACAATTGAGTAGGCCAAAAATATTCCCAAAAAATAAAAAAATAAAAAAATGAGGGGTTGGGGTCAAGCTGCCCCCCCTATTTGTTTCAATTTTTTTGGTGTATGGAAAAGAGCACAATTCGCATTAACACTGGCACAATTTAGCACCAATCGAGCACAATTGAATAAGCCAAAAATAGGTATTGCCAAAAAGCCAAAAAAATGGGGGGCTGGAGTCAAGCTGGCCCCCGGATTTGTTTCAATTTTTTTTAGTACATGGAAAAGAGCACAATTCGTTTCAACACCGGCACAATAATTGAGCACAAAACGAGCACAATTGACTACAATAATTTTTGAGAAACTCAGAGAAACAGTACAAAACGGAATGTGGCCAACTTGAGCGAGCCTTTTTTGAAATGTTTTTTTCCGAGATTGATTCTTTAGGAACACAGTTTGCAACTTTCACTCATTGATTTAATTTTGCAACATTTGGGGCCCTACTGCTGGACTTTGCAATGGAAAGAGCTTGGAGGACTTCCTATTCACTCATCTATTGAGAACGTATTTATTGAACAAAAATGCATTAAAAAGAGTGCATTGATGCATAATTTTTACAGGGTTATTCTCGGGGTTAATTATGTGTGGTCCATTATGTTGTTAGACGACTATAAGGTTTATGGGTTAATTAGTTCTTTTTATTGCTCAGAGAATTTTATTTCCCACAAGTATAATATTAACTAATAACTAGCCCACCATCATCAGCAAAATAATAACCTAGGAATA